CGGGGGAGGGAGAAGGTGCCTGGAGCTGCTCTGTGCCCCTTGCAGTCAGGGCAAAGTGCTGCGGAGTCCGAAGGACCTGGGCCGCTCCTGGTGCGTGCCAGGGCTGCCGCGCCGCCGCCCGCCCCGCTCGCGTTCCTGCGCCCGGCACCATGGTGTCAGCGACTCGGGGTGGGCTTTGAGGGGGGGCTCAGGGCCACGAGCCCCAAAAGGTGCTTCCCCTGTGTGGGGTGAAAGGCTGCTTGCGGCTTTCCTGTGCTCTGCGGGGTTGGGGACAGCTCCCAGCTCGGCGTCATCCTCGTCCTGCTCCGCTCCGGGGTGGGAGCCCAGGCCCAGCTCTGGGGCGCGGGGTGGATCGAGGGTGGGGGGAGACAGGTCTCTTGTCTCGCCCACCCTACCCTCACGTGCCAGTCACCCTCCTGCTCCCTGCCGCTGTTCTGACAGTGGTAAAAAGGGGGTTTGGAGTCTTTTAGGGGTGCTTTAGTCTCTCTCCTGCTCCAGGTCGTTGGCATCATCATACCGTCCCCGGGGGGGCATCAGTGCAGCGCAGTGCTGCCTGCTGGGAAGCCGCTCTCTGGCGGGGTACGCGGGGAGGGCGAGGGCGCTATCCTGCTCGCTCGGTTCTGCCGCCGTCTGGGCTCGGGTCTTCCCTCACAATATTTCCCCTGGTGACTGGTGACATGGCAGCCCTGGGGGAGGAGGGAACCCGCGCTTGGAAATCCCCTGGCGCCGTTCGCAGGCGTTTCCCCCTCCCTTTGACACCCCGCAGCTCTCCAGAAGGCAGAGGGGAGCCCTGGCGTGGGGCTGGGGGCGGGAGGGGTGACCCAAGCCCAGACCACCTCAGCCGTGGGGGCTGCGTGCCTGCAGCGCAAGGGACGGGAGCACCAGCTCGTGCCTGGCTGGTGACGGTGTCGTGAGGCTCCCGTTCAGACAGCTCCGGCACAGCCGGACGGGACGGCTGGAGGAGAGGTGAGCGCCCGGCAGAACATCTCCCCAGGGGACGGGCGCAAGCCAAGCCCCGGGCTCGCAGCAGGGGAGAGCGTGTCCGTGCCCTGCTGGGGCAGAGGGGCAGCCCCCGCGCCCTTCCACGAGGACGCAGGTCCCTGGCACCTCCCTGGGCACGTCCTGCGTGGGGACCCGAGGGAGAGCCCTGGGCTGGGCTGGGTGGCCCCTGTGCCCTCCCAGCCCCTTCGCAGCTCTCGCCCACTCTCCCCCAGTTCAGCCCAAGGTGAGGGTCTCTGCCATGCAGTCGAGCTCCCTGCCCCAGACCGACAGGCTGGTTTGCACAGGGACGGGGTTTTACCCCGCGGAGATCGAGGTGAAGTGGTTCAAGAACGGGCAGGAGGAGACGGAGCACGTGGTGTCCACGGACGTGATCCAGAACGGAGACTGGACCTACCAGGTGCTGGTGATGCTGGAAACCAGCCCGCAGCGCGGGGAAGCCCTGCTCCACGCTGGCTCCAGCCCTCGCGCATGCAAGCAGCAGCCGTTTTCAGAACTCCTCTTTTAGGACGTGCCCCTGTTGGGCTCTGGGTCTGTGTGGCCGAGGCAGGAGCCCCCCAGCACCTCCGGCCAGCTCCGCGCCCCAGCACTGCCATGCGGGACTTTATCCCCTTTCCAACCCGATTCCCTTTCTCCCTCTGCGCTGGCATCTCATGTCAGGACCGTGTCCTCCTGGCGTTGAGGGCGCTTGTTGTGCCTTTGCCAGAGGGGAGGACAGGCCTCGCGTGCAGCCGACCCGCTCTGCCCTGGCCGTGTCCCCAAGGCGTTGCCGGTGGTCCCCAGCGCTGAGCCCTCTCCGTCCGTGGGTCATGGGGAGACGCATCCACGGTGAGGGCCAGTCCCAGATCTGCCCTGGAGGGACCGCAGCTCCTGCCTGATCACTGCTGTGTGCTGCCAGGGGTGGGCGCTCGGCTGTTGCTGCTATTTATTTTTTTGTCCTAGAATCTGTTATTTCCAGGTAGTTTATTTTCAGGCCCCGTAGTGAGAGCTCTGCTTCCCACCAGGCCCCACGCTGGACCGACCCGTGGCCATGCGCCCTTCCAGCGCTTCCCACCAGGAGCTCAGAGTGACGCCTCTGGTATCCCCACGCGACCCCAGCGTGCCACCCGTGTGCGAGGTAGCCGGGTTTCACATCCTCCCCGTCGCACGTCATCCGCTTTCTGTTCCAGCCACATCTTCCCCTTCTGCTCCCAGCGAGGAGGGAAGCAGGCCCCGAGCCTCCATGCTGCCTCGTCTTCATCACCGCTCCCAGGAGGAATTCGCTCCTTGTCTGCGGGTTTCCTCAGCGCCTCCTTCTCTACAGCCCCATGGCGGTGGTGGTTTTGCCACTTTGTGTCCCCATCTCCATCCCTGAGCTTGAGGTTTGT